ACATGTTTCTGTTTATTATTATTCATTTGTATACTGTTATTGCCTGTATGCCCCAATCAGGATAGCAGCTCCTTTGTATTCCATCACAAAAATGAAGCCATCTTTGGGGTGAAATGAAGCACCTATTTCACACATGCAGGTACCTGCTTTTCCGGAAAAGCCCCTTTTCCAGAAAAGCGTGTGTGGCCAATGTAGACGCGCTTTTCCGGAAAAGAGCCCCGATCGCCATTTTCGCGATCGGGGCTTTTTTCCGGAAAAGACTACTGGGCTGTCTACACTGGCCCTTTTCCGGAACAGTGTTCCGGAATAAGGACTTATGCCCGAGCGGGAGCAGAATAGTTTTTCCAGAATAGCGGCTGATTTTGTACAGTAGAGCATCATTGCTTTTCCGGAAATTCAAGGGCTAGTGTAGACAGCTCGCAGCTTATTCCGGAAAAGCGGCTGATTTTCCAGAATAAGTGGCCCAGTGTAGACACAGCCTAAAGGTTTAGGATAGGTAGTAAAAAACCACCACAGCAACTGACGGAGAACTTAAGCAGAAATATCAACTAAGAGATAAGAGATCATATCAAAATTGGGGTCTCCATGCTTAACACCACCCTAATTCTTTCAAAAAGTGCCATTGATGTAGGGATTACGTTTTACCTTTCATCTGAGACACAGCACCCAACTCCTCTTCCCCAAGGCACAGATTCTGTGATGCTCTGGAGGGAAGAATGGCACCTATTGAATAAATAGTGCCATTTCCTACAGCAGCTACTTGAACACTCAAATATTAACCAGTTCCCACACTCTAGTAGGGAGTAGAAGTGGGAAAAAAAGAGAAAGTTCTATGAGCGGAATTCTCTCTATTTAGAATATTTTTGAAGTGTTCCCATGAGCTGTCAGTGGCTTTTGAAAAACTAAGATATTTTACAACCCTAATTTTCTAGTTACAGGGCCAAACAAATGTCAACCTGAGCTGTTCTTAATGTTACCATGTGTCTTGATTCAATTTCCCAATTGAAATACAAATTGTTTTTTTTTAACCTTTCAGAGAGCCACATGGTAACTTTGCAGATTGCTGTCTTCTAAACTCTACTCCTTTAAATGTGTAATCCTTGTTCCCTCATTGGGATTAACCCCATAACAAAGCAAAGTCAATACGAAGTCAAAAAACTAGGCAGCACTGATGTAACTCAGCCTAGCAAGGCCATCTCAGAATAAAATTTAGTGAATATCATGGGATTTACAATCTCCTGATCAAGTCTCCTGATTGAAAAAGGGTGAGACAGGGTTGAGGGGTTTTGCTCACTTTTTTAGGGTTACTTTCTTGATTGTTTCCAAAACTGCTATATAACTGAGACTTCGCACATGTCAACACAGAAACCAAAATGTGATGACACCTCTGGTAAGCCTCTCTCCAGTGATTAGCTTAATCTAGTTAGCATGACTAAAAGCACCAGAGAATATGCTGTGGCACACACTGCACAAGCCAGCCCAGAATCCTAGATATATACTTATACTACATCTTCACTTCTGGTTTTCATGACTGGTGGTCAGGACCTCAAGTTTTACCTCTTCTTCAGAAATAAAGAGTCCAACACCATATTGGACATTGGATCAGCACTGAAGAAGAGTGCCATCTTCTTATCACCCATACCTCATCCTGTCTTGCAAGTCTTCCATGTAAGGGCAGATGGCAGCCAGTTCTGCTCACTCTTATGAAATCACAATCCGGAATTGACTGGCAACAGATTGGATCTACTCAGTTCACTAAATCTAAGACTGAAAGTTCAGCTTTAACAATAGGTATAGTTCTACTACAGCCTCCACACAATACCCGCATACAGGATGCTAAAGGCATCCAGAAGCTCTATGTTTTATGGAATTTTGATGAGCAGAGAGAAAGTCCTGAAAGTATTTTAACTAGGGATATGTGAACATATTCACTGCAAGTGAAACTGACAAACTTTTCCTTTTTACTAGCCTCAAACTTTGACACCCAACCCAACATTTTTACTGGAGCAAGTAGTACTGCCAGATAATGAAACTACTTCCTCCTTGAAAACAAACCCCATTTGATCTCTCAGAGAAGGTCCAAGCTAAAGACGACACAGATACGTGGTAGGAAAAATTATTCTGACATCTTTTCCCCCCGAACAATCTCTTCCTAGACAGAAGCCTTTTGAAGAAAGGAGCAACAATTCTGTCAGACTTCAGAGCTGTGAGATTTTAACCCTAGGAAGAGATACTACTTTTTTTTTCCTTTTTGTCCACCTGCTGAAAAAACACCACCAAAGG